TTATATTAACCCTTTGCACTCCGAATTATTTTTCAATTTCGTTGCCAATAACTCCCTACTATTTTAAGTATTTTCTTTGAAATTTACTTTATAAGACCGGTTCTCTTTTACTGCTACTTATTTCGAAGAATTTTGTTTACTGTTTATATTAAATATAGTTCTCAAACATTGTTGTGATTTATATTTCGAATTGAAGTAATTCAAATAGTTACTTATCTTCTATTTTCTTGTTCAGTAAATAAGGAATCGAAGAACGTCGATACGAGTTCCTGTGATGAAAACTGATGTCGAGTCACACTCGACAAAGGAGTGCAAAGGGTTAAGACTGTTAATATAATATATAATTGTTTTTAAATTAAACGTGGTTTCCTTAACCTGTCAATTTGACAGGTGTCCTTAGAAATAGGTACACAGGTCCGTAAACCTAGCGTTAAAGAAAATAAAATATGAGATATATAGTCTCATGGTGCAATTAATGTTTCGAACACGAGTTATCGAGGCGCGTCTCTTTTCGAAAACAAAGTGGCGCTTCTTTGCAGACGGTACAGGAAGTGCCAACTGTTTCGTCGATTTTTCGAGATGGATTAAAATATATCCCACCATGCGTAAGAAGTTAAACAAAAGGCGAGACGGTCTTTAACCCGCCTAACCACCCCGAGGAATTAACCGAACACAGACCTATCGAGAACTCTTTTTCACTGCGCGAAGACTGTCACTCGATCGAGAAAAAGTATTTAGATACTCCCAGTGATCCGAAACCTCGAGAACCACGTTCGCAAACTCGTAGCTCACGCGTAACACGCGATGCACGTAGCTTATCCTGACGCGGAAAGCTTCGAGATCTTCCAACAAATCTCTACGACTCGGACGAAATCCCGCGAAACCTGCGAAATATCGAGCCTAACCTAGCCTAACCTAATCCCTAACGCGTTAGCTGCCACGTCAGTCACCGGTGACTGACAGTATAAAATGCGATAAGAAACTAAAAAATTACATTGTTTCCATAAATTTTAAGCCATTTCAGGATTGTATCATTAACGTACTCAAATATTACTTGTCAAAAAGTTGAATGGATTTTATGGAAAAAGTTTAAACAAGAAAACGGTTGTTCTTTACATGTGTCACAAAGTGTGGCAACTTGCTTTGTCATTCTTCTGGCCATTTCTCTTCCAAGTCGTACCATATTTATGTTTTGTTTAACATTTTAACCCTTTGCGCTCGAACGGTGCCCCTCAGGCACCATTCGGACCAATGCGGTAATTCGAGCGATAACAGTATTTATTAGGTTTGGTCTGAGAAATATTGCTTCACGGGTCTATTCCTAGCACTATCTGTATAATCTTATGAGGTGTGGAGTGAGACGATGCACTTCAGAATGGTTATTATTTAGAATATTTCTTTCAAACTTACTGTTACGCGGTGCATATGGAATATCCTGCCTTGGCATACCTAATGGAGCCACGAGGTCGGTATTTCTAAGGTTTATCATACGATGGTATAGACAGACTATTTTAGAGTTGGACTTTAGGTATATTGCGAAGGAATGAATGAAATTTTTTTTCAAATCTCAATTTCGTCCACGCTCAATAACCAAAAGACGTGCTATAAACGTCGGTAATTCCGAGTGTTATTTCAAATAAAGTTAATACATAATAAAATAATAAAATAATGTTAAAATATACAAGTTTTATTGCGTCTCAAATCATTTTAAGTTTACTGTAAAGAACTCATGAAATAATCGGAAACGGCTAACTGCGCTCTAGTTGCTGGTTCGCCTGTCCGAGAAGGGCTTCGAGCGCAAAGGGTCAACCATGTTACATATGGTTAGCGTTTTGGCGGGTCAGTTGCACGCGCGTCCCCCGTCTATTGGTTCAGGTAATAAGTATTGCTGCCCACAGTCCTTACCTCTGGACCAGGAATCGTAGAGAACTGAATGAGGATAAACGCAGCCCATTTCTTACATTTTTGTAACACTTTGTCGTCGCCTAAACAGCTCCCAGGCACGACGCTTGGCATTGTTATACCACGGACTTACAAGCAGCGCGCCTGCTGCTGGTCTGACCGGGATTCCCTCATAAATGCGCGTGGCAGCTAACGAGTTAACCCCCTAAACCGAATCTCGTCTCATCGAGGAAACTTGGCCGATCTCGACGAGTAAACAAACCTCGACGACGCGTAGAACCACGACCTACGAAGACCTCTCTCTCTCTCTCTCTCTCTCTCTGGTTGACCGCGTTGAAAATGCCAGACGACAGAGGCGTCGCGCGGAGATGGCGGACTTTTCTCACGGAATCCACGGATCGTCCGGAGGCGGATCACGAAGCGGAAAGTGCGAACGATCGCTAATGAGCGGAATATCGAAACGCGAGACGCCACCGTCGTGGAATTACGCAATAACGCAATCGGCGGTGCGGCGTGTCGCGCACGATCCGCAATAGCGTGGCAGCGGCCCGATCGAGGCCTGTTTACGAATGCGTAATACACGCGGTGCATTCCATTCGGATTCGCGCGCCACGCCGCCGCTGCACACTCGCTCATTCCGCCGCGCTTTCCGTTCTGCGTCGTGCATGCGAAATATTCGCCGGCGACGAGCTGCACCCGCCGACCAACGCGGCTAATCGATTCCTGCACGGGTTAACGTCGATTCGGCCCCGTCTCGTCGAGTCGTGCGAACGCGTCGCTGCGATTCCGATCGTTTCGTTTCCGCGTTATTTTATTTCTCCACTCCCGGCCCCTTTTTTCCACGCTTTCCACGTCGCTTTTAAGCCGATCGACCGTTCGATCGGGTTCCTTTGCGGGCAGCGGGAAATTAAAGCTAAAGTATTTTCACCTAGGATAAGATAGGACGCGACAGAAAATTTGGGGTGTAATTCCGATTCGAAAAGAAATCTCGCGCTGACTGATCGGTACCCGAAGTCGATTTAATAGTCATCGTCGAATTCGTGTATGACATTCGAATTTCCAAACGCGGATTCCAAGCTGCTCCATATCGACTACCTCGCTCACGTTCTAAATCACGAGACACCGAAATCCATTCAACCCCCGTAAAAAGGGGAAAAAATAAAGGAAACAAGGGAGAGGGAGTACGCGTCACCAAGCTCCCATTTCGACAGCTAATCCCCGAAACGGGTGCTTCTGGAACCCCACACAGTGTGCACACGGCTTACCTCGGCGAGTCGCGTCAACCCTTTCTCCCCGAAAGCTCGCACATTCCGGCGCGTGGAACGCCGTCGAGGACCTGGCACCGCGGCTTCGACGGTGCCCCGTCGGCCGAACCCCGAGGACCGGTTACCGAACACGGCACGCGAAAACACGTAAAACAAGAAGGATCGGGCCCCGGGTGTCGGCGGCTAGACAGCCTCGCGCCTGCTGCATAATGCAGCACAGCGACGAGTTCACCCGGCAAATGTTGGACGCTAATACATCTTGATGATAGATAGGGAGCATGTGTTTGGTCTTCGCAATGAGGTTGGTAGGGACGTTAGGGATATTACGAGGGCGAGGGGTGCCCTGGGCCGTGCGGTGCGCCGGAGGGAAAAAGTTGCACGGGTCGCGGCAGAGAGAGAAAGAGAGAGAAAGAGTGAGGAAGACGGGGAGGGAAAGGGGTGAACGGGAAAAAGACGACCGGGAAGAGTCGAGGATCGACAGGGGTAGTCGAGGATCGAAGAAAGTGAGGCGAAAATGAGAGGAAGAGCCCCACCTGCTGGCGGAGCTTCCTGGAAAACGAGCGAGTCGAGGAGAGCGAGAGAGAGAGAGAGAGAGAGGGATACACACGCGCGCGAAGATAGGAAGAAGACAGAGACACTCAGAGGCAGAGAGAAAGTTGGAGAAATAGAGAGGGATACGCGGACGCAAACGCGAAAAGAGAGAAAAATAGAGAAGGGAGATAGAAAGAGAGCGGAGAAAGGACTAGGATGGAAAGCGAGAAAGAGACAGAGTAGGAGGATGGAAGGAAAGCGAGGGAAACGAAGAGGGGAATAGGAAGGAGGAGACCAGGGTGTTCCAGAGGTTTCCAGAGAGGGGTCGACGGAGGGTAGAGGCAGACCGGGGATGACTCTCGGGGGGTGGAACTCAGAGGGTTGGCCAGGTTCGCCGGCGTTCGCTGTGGCGAGTTGCGATGCCGAGCACGTCGCCGTCAGACGAGCGTACGTGCGACACGACTACGCTTTTACGCCACTCTCTGCCTCTATCCTTGCCTCTTCTCTCCTCTCTCCCGCTCTTTATACTCCTCTTCCTCCGCGACCGCCCCGCCGACGCTGTTCCAGGCTTCGCCGTGCCCTACGCCATCCCCCTTTCCTTCGTTTCTTACTTCTATTTCGCCTACTTTCATCTCGGCCCTCCCCGAACCGGCTCACCAACTTCTCCGCGATGTTTTTAATAATGCCGCAGCTTGTTCCGCTCCGACGAACGCTCTTGGCTATCTCGACAATCGAATGTCGCTTAACGATGGCGTGTTCGGATTGGAGATTCGCGTGGATGTATATATACGTATATTTTGATAGCCACGGAAGAGATTGGTATTATTTGTTGGGTAACGAATCGTTTCGATCGCGTATAGTTTGGTAGATTTTTACGGAGTCGTGATTCATCGCGAGTTTCGACGGTATACTTTTACCGTGGCAGTGAAAATCGAGGAGAAATAGAGAGGCGTTCGGTGCTCTAACGCTCAGCTATCAGAAATATTACCAACGAGGCGAGTGTGAAGGCTCCGTTACCGACCAAAGGCAGGTTATCGACGCTCGTAATTTTATACTGGACACGAACCGGAAAGAAGAACGCGACTGGAATATCGATCTCGCGTTACTGAAAAATGCGATTATGGGATTATTACAGAGTTCGTCGAACTGTTCGGTAATTCGATTTAAGATGGAAATTTATGAATCTTTAGTCGATACAGATAACACGATGAACTCGTTGCAGAAATATCTCGGCAGATGGGACTGTAATTATGTCAAAGCGAATGTGATACCGACGGAGTGGTAAAAATGCAAAACTCTCACCGTGATTCGATTAATTCGCTCGTCCAACACGTGAGGCTGCTCAAGGGTGATCTCGTATGAGAAGAGTCTGTCGTGTGCCGCTTTGAATTCCGTGCGAAGAGAAGTTAATTCCCGGTGAAGCGCAGTGGCCATTTGCGTTTCTTCTACTCTAGTCGTTAAAGACTCCCATTTCTCCAACATACCTGAAACAAGAGAACGTCGACAACGATGTCAGTTAAAGAAAATAAACGCGGTGAACGTATATCCGTAATTATCTACGCCGGGTTGTATATCACACCGAGAAGCCCATTGGCGAAAAATATTCTATATCTTTTTCTAACCTTTCAGCTCTTCGAGAAATTTCGAATCGGGAAACGGGATAAAGCGTTGCAGGAAAAAGTGATGGAGAAATTTTTAAACGCGGGGAAAATGCGAGAAATAAATTTGAGAAAAGAGAAAAGGAAAAAAGAAGAGAGATACGCAGTGATGTAAAATAAAGAGGTTAGAGCATTTCGCAATTATATACGTGCTATTGCGTCATTCTTTTTCGCGAGTAACGGTCAGTTGGAAATGGAAATGTTCGACGTAATTACGCACAATAGCTTGCTTTCGCCCGACGGTGCTGATATTACTATTATTTACGTTACTCGCGACGTCTCGTTCCCACCAGACGACGTTGAGGTTATGTCAGTGAAAATAAGCTAGATATTTAAGGCCAAGCGGCTTATACGTGCATGCATGCATGCATGCATGCATATGCAGCTCGCATGGCTTCTATGACCTGCTTCTTTCGTACTTTCCTTCGATACTTTCTTCCACGAGACAACGATGCGCCCTTAAAAATATGTACACGGTCGGTCCCGATCCGCGATTCGACCGGTTGATATCGTTTTGAACCGAGCCTGCTCCGATTTAAGAGCTTTCACTTTTGTCACACTCGCGAATTTCCGACTCGAGTTTAAATTCGATTTTTAAAAAATTAAGCATCGTCGGTTCGAATTTTACATTAAAATATTCCAACTGACAAACTGAAAGCTTGAAACCAAATTTTACGATTATTTATTCCTTTCTTTTTTTATATTTAGAAACTAACGTGTAATTTATCAGAGGTTTCTATTACGTTTCAGTGAAACGACGCAGGATAAAATGAGAAAAGCAGACTTCGTTAACGCCTATGCTCGATTTCAGTTCAACGGTCAGTAGAAATCTGTTCATTTTCTCCGGTAAGAACGATTGAAAAGTCGCAAAAATGTCACGGTATTTATATGCTTTCCCCGAGATACCAGTTATTACGATATTTTCCACTCTCTACGAGTCCGGAATGTTTTCCAATTTAACACGTCTCGAATGATCTCAAATTAAATAACAGTTAATACCGACGATTATCGATCCAATTATGTACTTTCTTCCAAACAATTTGCGAGTTCGGATCGCGTATGGTTAATCCGAGTTAAACCACGGGAAGTGAAATGGATGGATAGCCTCGATTTTTCTCTTCCTTTTTTCCCTCTTTTTACTTGCGCTATGAAACGTTTTACGAGGTAGTAATTAGCGATATGCGCGTTGCTGTGAATACTAACCGGTATAATTATATATTTCTATGATATATATGACTCGAGAAATTAAATAGAAATCGCTACGACTAGATACTAAGTAATAAACGTTTATAAGTGCAATCGATATTTCTTAGGATATTTGCATGTAATTAATAGTCTCGATATAAATATCTTGCTCGGATAAACAGCCGCATAACGTACAACGTTCTTTAATTTAACGCTAAATCTACCGCGATCGATCAAACGACCTCACAGAGATCCTTGATAAGAAAATGTGAAAACATCGAGGAATTAATACGAGAAGGAAAATCGCGCAAACGGGTAATCGAAGGGGCAAAATTGAACATGGAATCTTGAATTGAAATTTGGAAATGCTCGTTTAAGTCGTATTAAGTTTCGCGCTAATATTGCATCTTCGAATTTGAATTTGAGCTTCCTATTTTCTGAATGATTTTATAAGTGAGCAAGCGATTTTTCAATCAGAGCTCGGTGCTCCGAAATGTCATTAAAAAATTCGATTCCTTCGTCATCCCGATTATCCAGTTAGACGATTAAATTTCAATCGAACGTAAGACGAAATTCAAATGGGTAAAGAAACTGACGCGTTTCCATAATTCCACGAAACGCGGTTACCGGGTTAGCGTGGAATAAATAAATTCGATTTAAATATCAACTCGTTTCTTGTAACGAATTTCGAAAAGAACGGACACCCATCGCGTACTATAAACCTACATTCCTACGCAGTCATCTTCCAAAAATACGCCGTTTCCGATCAAAGTCGCTCAGAACTCCATCGACAACAGAGCTAGGAAGAACTCGATCAGCAATGGAATTAGAGAAGACTCGATCAATAACAGACGTGAGCAAAACTTGGTCATCGACAGAACTAAAAAGAACTCGATCAACAACAGAATTAGAGAAGAACTTGATTGTCAGCAGAACTAGAAAGGACTCGACCAACAACGGAATTAGAGAAGAACTTGATCGTCAACAGAACTAGAAAGGACTCAATCGATAGAACTAGGGGAAACTCGATCAAACGAAGAATCAGACAGAACTCCGGATCAACAACAGAACTAGACAGGACTAGACAGAACTAAAAAGGACTCGATCAACGACAGAATTAGATAGAACTTGGTCATCGACAGACCTAGAAAAGACTCGATCAACGACAGAACTAGAATAAGCTCCATCAACCGCAGAATCAGACAGAACTCAGGATCACCAACAGAACTAGTGGAAACTACACAGACCTCGACAAAACTCGATGAACCGGGGACTCGCACAGAACTCGATCAATAATACAACTGAACGGAATTGCACAGAACTGGACAAAGCAGAAAATCACTTCACTTCAACGAGGTCAGAATGATTATATCCATGAAGATCAAGGTCCCGAAGATCATCGCACAGAGTCGCGTCGTGGGTCTACAACCTCGCGAAACTCGAAGGAACGAGAGACCAGGAAAATAGCGATTATTCCGAAAATTCGAAACTCCATGGCCCGAACACCTTGTTTCCCCTGTTAACTGTAATATCGAAAGCTCGGCTGTTCGTTTAAACGTAAACGAAGCTTCGATCAAGCGAACAAGTACACGATTTCTTAATTACCGATGGCGAATCAATTTTCGATGTCCGAACACGCGACCTATCATCGGGGTCACGCTCGATTACACCGTGATCCCGCTTTCGTTCAATTAACTGCCCCGTTGTCCGCCAAGTGTCTTCGTACATGGGAAATAAATTATTCGGTGAAAGCCGATCGAATTCTCCTCTCCGCGCTACACGGCAACCGTGAACCGAGGCACCCGGGTAATTACTGTCTCGTAAATAGAAACAAGACTCGGAAGAAAGTGAATAGCAGAGGGGAAAGGGTGTTCTCGGACGATCCGAGTAGCAAGCTCGATCGACGATGATCGATGGCTCAACGACGACTAACGATCGTTGCCGTGTATCTTTCATGGATCACGCCGCGTGCGATTACAGGTGTTTCTAGTAATGAGGCTTTTTCATCATCGGCGTTCTTCTTTCGAAATAAAAACGACAGTCATAGGAAGATCCTGTCCTGTCCGTGGAGTGACGGATATGAAAGTGGACGATTTTTCCGAAGATCGATCACCGATCCGTTGGAAGGACGCGAAAATTAATGGCACGAGCGATTCGCGTGACTACTAACTCTCTCGGAATGATGCAGAATTTTCGAATTTTCTTTTTCCTTTCTGCTGATGAATTTCATAATCTCTCTCTCTCTCTCTCTCTCTCTCTCTCTCTCTGTTCGTTTCAATCCTTTGCTCTCGACGATTTCTTAGCTAGCGAAGAGTAGAAATTCGAAGATTCTTTGATATAAAGCTTGGGATATCTTTTTGAGCGGTAAATAAGAGTATAATAATTAACACGTCGAATTATTTGATTACATTATCTTAAATTTGATATATCAATTAATATCGATCTCCAGAAATTCGTGTTCGTAAACAAATTCGTATACAGGGTGTCGCAGTATTTTCTTTAGTATATTTCGCAAGTAAAAGGAATACGAAGAGATTCACAGAAACGTGCACTTGAATTCGGGAAAATTAATTAAATTCGATCAAGGAAAACTCCTTCTTCCAAATTTCTCGTATGGACTCTTCGACCGAACGATTCGTGTTCGTAAACAAATTCGTATACAGGGTGTGCTAGCTTTTTCATCGGCATACTCCACGAGTAAAAGAAACAAGAAGTAATTGACAGAAACGTAGGTTCGAATTGGGGAAAACGAATGAAATTCGATGAAGAAAGATTGCTCTATTCGAATTCCTTGCACTCCTGGAACAAAGTCTGCGTAAACAAATTCGTAACCGTCGGTGAAAAGCAATGTCCGCTAACCTTGCTGGAACAGATTAGATAGACGCCACACGTTTTCGCGCGAATTACACTTCGAATTCCAAGGATGTTCGCTGGTGGGTGCGCGTAGACGCGCGCCGAAGAAAAATCTGGGACAACCTGTACACGATTTCTAAATCGCGCAGAATTTCAGAGATCCCGGTATCACGGTGGAAAAAAGAAATTGATCGACCCGAATGTAAAAAGAACACCGGAGAGGCGAAAACACGCTTGGCGGAAGAGGGAGCCGATTCGCCGGCAACGATCCAAGGGGAGCGTTCGATTCGCATGATCATTTGCGAGCATGACGATCGCAATAAAAATAGCTCGAAGGTCTTCCTTGCGTTTTTCGATCTACATTCGAGCCATTGTGTCCAACGCGCACGGTCCGAGCGACGCGCGAGCTGTAATCGCGATTTCTAGGCTGCGAAGGAAAACCTCGCGCCGGCTTTTTCACGGTTTTCTCTGGGAAAAAACGGCTTTCACTTTGTCACGGCTGGATTATAGAAGAATCCAGCGCGCCGTGGTTATCAAGTGAAATCTCGAAATCCGCGTCGGCGTAAAAACGGGTTCGGGCTTGGCTATCCCGCTGGAAAGGACGCAAAGAACCATCGGGACTTTTTCCACCTCGTCTTTTACGAAACGTTTCGAATTATCCCGCGAATTTACACGCGTCTGGTACGCGTCCACGCGAGAAGGATTTCGTCACCGTGGCGCCTTGCCGCGTGATTTACGGAACGACCAACGAGTCGGAGGTCTTGCCCGCTCGAATTCGACATTCGTTC